AAGGAATATGAAGAATGTGTTTGTTCGCTGTCTATTTATTATTCTTTTTCTGTTTCTAACAAAATTATCAGTTCGAAATAAGTCATCAGAGGCACTTAAAATTTTTCAGGGTCAGAAATCTAATTAACCTCAGCAACTCTGCTTAAAATGTTGAATAATATAAGGCAAGTCCTTACAGGAATCTTTGGTTATATGCAGTCTTGGCAATATATTTACAACTATTTTTTAAAAACTGACCTTCAATGTCTATTTTCAAAAGACACAAGGTAATGGAAAGCAGATTGAGAAACAAGTCACTTGTGAGGTCTCATCTAACACATTTTAGTAAATTATTGCTGGATGTAAGCAGCTGAATTTGTAAACTATTTCATTACCTTACATTTTATAGACAAAATTAAGAGCAAGTTCACAGTAAATGAATCTCTCATCTGAAAATAGCTCTTTCTCCTCATTTAAACCTGACATTGGAAGGATACAACCCAAATGTGTTCACTCCAACAGATTCTGAGATAAATACATTTCACAACTGTCTTATTGGTAGATTTGCTTAGCACAATTTGGGTATTTGTTATCCTCTGACAGATTCAGAGGAGTTTGTCAGAGGATAACATTGCATGTTTGCAAGTTGCAGGCAGTAAGTTTGCATGTTTGCATGTTGCATGCAATAAGTTTGTGTGTTTGCATGTTGCATGCAATAAGTTTGAGTGTTTGCATGTTGCATGCAGTAAGTTTGTGTGTTTGCATGTTGCATGCAATAAGCTTGTGTGTTTGCAGTAAGTTTGCATGTCCTTTGGTGCTATTTTTTATTTTTCTGTTAGGGATTCTAGTTTGCAGTAGAACAATTTCCTCCTGCAGCCGCATTCAAAGTACCATCGGGATTCAACTTGTTTCTCTCAATGAGACAGTTTGTTTTGCTCCTAACATATCAGAATAAGAGCTCACAAGATCAGCAGCTGATGGAAATTGTCAGAATAACAGCTGCTGGCACCCATGTAGAAAGCACAGAAAATATGAACAGTTGGTGGGCAAGGTTCTTGGGCACAGTAAAGGGTACGGAGGAGGCCTCTCCAGGTGAGTCACCTGGGAAGGTTGGTGACAGGTGAGAGGAGTTGGCACAACAGGCAGGTGGGTGGTGTGCACCTTGGCCAGGTGCAGTAGCTCACGCCTGTAATTCCAACACTCTAGGAGGCTGAGTTGGGCAGATCACCTGAAGTTAGGAGTTTGAGACCAGCCTGGTCAAGATGGTGAAATCCTTTCTCTACTAAAAGTACAAAAAATTAGCTGTGTGTGGTGGTGGGCAGCTGTAATCCCAGCTATACTCAGGAGGCTAAGGCAGGAGAATCACTTGAACCTGGGAGGCAGAGATTGGAGTCAGCTGAGATTGCGCCACTGCACTCCAACCTGGGCAACATGAATAAACTTCCGTCCCTAAATAAATAAGTAAATAAATAAAGGGCTGGAAATCTTGAGGGGAGGCAAGACTGAGAAAGGGGAACCTGGAGCAGATATTGATGTCCAGGGCAGATATTGATGTCCAGTGCACAGACTGGGTGAGAAGTGAGGAAGTGGAGGCCTAAGCCCAATGAAAGAGGGGAGGGAAAGGGCTGATCCTGGGGCAGTTGGGCACCAGGCCTGAGTCAGTTTCCTGTGGCTCCTATAATGAATGACCACAAGCTCAGTGGGGCAAACAGTGTGGACTTAGTATCTTATAGTTCCAGAGATGGGCAGTGGAAATGGGCATCCCTGGCTAGATTCAAGGTGTTGTCAGGTCTGTGACCCACTTGAAGGCCTTAGAGGAGAATCCATTTCCTGGCGTCTCTGGCTCTGAGGGGCTGCCCACATTCCTGGGCTCACAGGCCCATCCTCCATTCTTAAAGTCTTGGAAGAGACCTGCTGCTACCATCTTCCACACTGGGTCCACCCAGACAGTCCAGGATATGTGCCTCATTTCCAAAATCAGCTTAACAAACTGAAACCCACCTGTAACCCTAAGCCCTCTGTTACATGTATAGTAACGTAGCCATGAGATGTGGGGATTCGGCTCTAGGCATATTTGGAGCTGTTATTCTGTCTTCTATACATCAGTGCAGAACAAAGGCTGATGACTCATGGGAAATGTGCCAGAACTGGTACCAAATGGGATGTGGCTGGAGGCACCACTGAGCCTTGGTTCTGCTGTGTCACACACCATCCGCAAATTTAGTGTTACAAAACAACTGATTTGTTATGTGCACAGAATCTCTGGGTCAAGACTTCAGCCAGAGTATGGCAGGGACAATGTGTCCCTGCTCCATGAGATCTGAGGCCTCAGCTGTGAAGATTCACACATGAGGGTGGCTGCACGGCTGGGGGCTGGAGCCTGCTGAAGGAACCTTGTCTGTGTGGCTGGCAGTGGTTGCTGGCTTGCCTGGGACCTGGATGGAAACTTCTGACTCGCAGCTGGGTCAGCTACAGCTGGCCTCTCCACCTGGCCTTGGTGTCCTCACAATATGACCACTTCTAGGAAGTGGAACTTCCTGTGTGTTGACTGAGGGCTCCAAAGGCTGTTGCTGGGTGTCTAGTCCCAGCCATGGAGGTGGAATCTGCATTGCCTCAGAGGTCACATCGCAACATTTCTGCGATTTTAAGAAAGTTGATTCTTAAAATCAACTTAAAAGTTGAATCATTCTGTTGATTTTAAGAAACTTACCAGCCAGGTGTGGTGGCTCACACCTGTAATCCCAGCACTTTGGGAGGCCGAGGCAGGAGGATCACCTGACATCAGGAGTTTCAGACCAGCCTGGCCAACATAGTGAAACCCTGCCTCTACTAAAAAAAAAATACAAAAAATAGATGGGCATGGTGGTGCATGCCTGTAATACCAGATACTCAGGAGGCTGAGGGAGGAGAATCACTTGAACCCAGAAGGTGGAGTTTGCAGTGAGCTAAGATCACGCCATTGCACTCCAGCCGGGGCAACAGAGAGAGACTCTGTCTCAAAAAAAAAAAAAAAAAAAAACTTACCATCCTCTCCACCTCCCTAATTCACAGTGAGGAATATTGGATTTCATCTCCTAATGATGGAGTGACATGGACTGAGAAGAGCCTGCAGGATTGGAGAGGCTGAGGCATCCATCTTTGGAAAAGCAATCCACCACATTCTTTTAGGATCCCAGCAAGCCCAGACCTCAGCAGGAATGCAGGCGGTTTCCAGCTCAACCCTCATTCTAGGGTTGCCAGATTTAGCAAGGAAAACTACAAGACATCCAGTTAACTCTGACTTTCATGTGAACAATGATTGAAAGTAGAGTTATGCCCATGCAATATTTGGGATATACTTATGCTAACAAATTTGGTGTTTATCTGACATTCAATTTTCACTGGGCTTTTCTACATTTTATCAGGCAACCCTACTCCATGCAGAATGTCCATTTAAAAATATGTTGATCATCATCCCTGGACATGAGGGAGGAGAAAGAGTAACAAGGAGGCAGCTTTTAAGAGGAAACGCTTGCAGAGGGAGGCTAAAAGACCCAGACCCGGGGTGGTTAAGCCTGCTTATTCCTTGGCCCACCTCAGAGCCAGTGTGATCTTTTTCTCTTTCCACAGTCTGTAAAAATACCTCCTAGCCTTCTGGTAATTAATGGGAAATGCAGAACCCATTCTTCTGATGAGCTTTCAATTAGCCTGTGTCTAATTTTCAAATGCTCATGAATAAATGATTAACTCAGATCAGAAACAAAAATCAAAGACCTCACCTGCTCATAAACAGAAAGGTGTGAGAGATTACCTCATCATCACTTTCACAGACTGCACCATCGCTGCCGTCCTCATGACCCAGAAAACAAGACTCATCAGCCGTTGCTGAACATCTTCTCTGAGAGACACCATCATGAATTCCCTCATCCTTTGAAGAACTCACTGGCTAGTTTCTATTATTTTCTGAACAACACAAACCAGCAGATGGGTGGGTGACCAGCCCAGGGTCCCACAGCCAGAAAGCAGCAGAGCATGAAGGATTCAGCCTGGGTCCTCCAGCCCAGGTCCTTGGATCTTTCATAGGAATCACTTTTGTCCCTACATTTCTTCAAGCCTCACAGTCTTTTTGCCTTGTGAGGTCATAAAAGTGAACTAAGGTGGACTAGCACTGGGTTGAACAGGTCCCTTTGGCTGCTACAGTAGCATAAATATTGTCCCTCCAATTATGTCGAAGTCCTAATCCCTGGTAACCCTGAATGTGACCTTGTTTTGGAAACAGGACCTTTGAAGGTATCATCAAGGACCTCCAGATGAGATCATCCTGGCTTTAGAGTGAGACCTAAATCTCTTTAGAGCTTTAGGTCTCTTTGATGTACTTAAAAGAGAAACGAGGGGATGTTGGGAGACACCGCAGAGAGGGAAGAAAGCCATGTGGAGACGGACACAGGTTGGAGTGATATTTCTACAGGTCAAGGAGTGCCAAGGCTTGCTAGCAGCCACCAGCATCAAGGAACAAGCTGTGGAAGGGATGCTCCCACAAAGGCCCCAAAGGAAATGACCCTGGTTTCAGATTCCTGGCCCTCTGAACAGCAAGCCCTTGGATTTCTGCTGTTACAGCACCTAGCTTGGGGCCCTTCATCACAGTAGCCACAGGAACATGGAGGCTGTCTCTCTCAGGCCTGCCATCTGCTCAGCTGCTCAGCTCCATCCATGTGATCCCCAAAACCAAAGCCCCGTGTTTCTTTCACCACGGAAAACACATGGCTGTAGCTTCCTTTCTTTGTATGTGAGATGCAAATGGAGATTTGCGATTCTGTGCGTGCCTCTGCCTGCCCACCTGGCGCTGGAGAAAAGACAAATCATGTCACCAAGCCCCCTACTGGGGTCTTCAGAGGGAAATTTAGAGTAACATGAAGTCATTGTGCTCTTCTTAGTCACATAATAAAAATTACAGTTTTTATAACTCGAACGACCAAAGCACTTAAATCAACTCCAGGAGTGAGCCGGCCAGCCACTTGTCAGCATGGCTCCTGAGAGAAAGCGGAAGGGGGCATGTGTCTGGGAGGATGAGAAATCATTCGCTAAGTAAGAAGCTCACTGAGTTTAAATCAAAACCCAGCACCTTTGGTTTTAGACAAACTTTTAAGTCTTACAGTTCCTGTTTTCCTGTGTGCAAATACCCCTAGGAAAGAGTAGAAGCAGAACTGAATTTTGCTGCTTTGTTTCTTTCTTAGAGTAAATTCTACTGTGTCTCCTCCAGCCCTGGCCAAACTTCAAATATGAGGAAAATAAACACTGTCATATATCAGCCAGCCAGTTCCCCGTGACTCCTGCCTGCCAGCCCCTGCAAAGGCAGGTCTGGCGCTGCATCCTGTGGTAACTACCTACGAAGCCAGCTGAACTCTTTTTCCCCTAAACTTCAGAAAGTGCCAGAATCACCCCGGAGCACCTGAGTGCGTGTCCTGTGAAGACAGCAAGGAAATGGGAGAGGATTTGAAGGATCTGCTTAAGAGCGGCTTTGAAGACCTCCAACAGGGTGAGAGCCAGCTCAGCACAGAGCCAGCCCAAAGAGGGAACATTTTTCTAGTAAGGATTATCTTTAATTTGCATTGCAACTATAGCACAAAAGGAAGGGGCAGCTGTTGAGACCGGGGCATAGGTGAAATGAAAACGTATTGTTTCCCTCCATCTTTCCACCCCAGCAGGGCCACGGTTCTCCAAGACAGACACTCTCTAGGTGAAATCTGTGGAATTTTGGAAACAAGATAAAAAACGTCCTAGAGTGCATTGCACATTCTCCTTTCTTTTTTTAAATTTTTTTTTAAAGAATGAAAGAGAGAAAGAAAAATAAAGTTAAGAAAAAGAATGAAAAAGAGGAAGAGAAAGAGGGAGAGAAAACGGGAGTCTTGCTTTATTGCCCAGGCTAGAATGCAGTCTAAAAATGAGTATTGAAAACCTCTTTTGTGCCAATAATTGTGCTTAGTAATGGGGACAGGAAGGAATAAGGGAGGAAAATAACAAACAAGCAGTCAACCAATATTTCATTTAATCCTGTGAAATGCTATGCAATTACTGAGGAGTGATTTACTTCCAATTATGCAGTCACTTTTAGAGTAGGTGTGATGTGGTACTGATAAGAATGTATGTTTTGTGTATTTGGGGTGGAGAGTTCTGTAAATGTTTATTAAGTTTACTTGTTCCGGGTCTGAGTTCAAGTCCTGGATATCCTTGTTAATTTTCTGTCTCGTTAATCTAATATTGACAATGTGATGTTAAAGTCTCCCACTATTATTGTGTGGGAGTCTAAGTCTCTTTATAAGTCATTACAAACTTGCTTTATGTATCTGGATGCTCCTGTATTGGGTGCGTATATATTTAGGATCATTATCTCTTCTTGTTGCATTGATCCTTTTACCATTATGTAATGTCCTTCTTTGCCTCTTTTGATCTTTGTTGTTTTAAAGTCTATTTTATCAGAGCTGAGAATTACAACTTCTGCTTTTTATTTATTTATTTATTTTTGCTCTCCATTTGGTTGGTAAATCTCACCATGGAGCCAGGCAGGCGTGGTTCAGGCTCTCTGGGGTTTGGGTTTGTGGGCTTCGTTTCCTTTCTGTCTGCTGCTTGCCCTGTGGGTGTGGACAGCAGGAAAATGAACCCAAGACCCCTTGCCATGGCTGTGCTAGTCACTCATTTTTAACCTGAGCAAGTTCTGATTTATTCTAAGCCACCTGCCTTCACCAGTGAAATGGAGATAATGTGGATAATGCTTTGCTGGGTAGTTTCGAAGATCAAATAAGGTGGTGTAGGTCAAGATAACAGCATCGACTGCCATGGATTGAGTGCCTGCCGTGCCTGGGCACCATGCTAAGTGCTTTACAGGCGGGGCACTGATTTGCTCCCATATTACATTGGAGGGCAGGGAGGCGCAGAGAGCCAAGGGAACCTGTTCAAGGTCATATGGTGCCGTAAGGAGCCAGGACTCCAGCCCACATCTAAGCTAGTGCTCTGACTCATTATGCATTTTTATAAAGGGCCAGATCGTAAATATTTTCAACTTGGCAGGTCTGAGTGGAAAACATGAACTCAGTGAAAGTGTTTTTTCTATTCTCTCCACTCACAGCATTCAACACAGAAGACCTCTGTGATCAAATGTGGCAGGGAGGGGTTTCCCACACACACAAAGCAAGCAATGAATTCTGCAGCAGGCACCAGCTGGGTGTCCTCTAATGCAGTTTCATGGAGACAGCATCAGGTCCCACAGGTTGAGGGCTGAGTCCCCGAGACTGCTCCCCACCCAGTTCCAGTGCCAATCATAAGCCCCAGGCTGTTTTGCCAGTGCTTCTGACAGAGGGGATATAAATCGGAGTTCCCCAAAGCCCTTCTGTGGGCTTAGTGAATTCACTAGAGTGACTCACAGAACTTGAGGAAACACTTACATTTAACAGTTTGTTACAAAGGGTATTTCAAAGGATACAAATAAACAGCCAGATGAAGAAACAGGTAGTGTGAGGTCTGGAAGGGTCTGAGTACAGGAGCTTCTGTCTCCGTGGATTTGGGATGCATCAGCTGTCTGGCACGTGGATGAATTCTTGTTCACCTTCCTGCCTCCTGGAAGCTCCAAAACCCTGTTCTCTTGGGCTTTTGATAGAGACTTTGTTAGATAGGCATGATTGACAACCATGTAGAAATGTGACTGGACAAAAGGAATCTGATCTAATATTAATGGATTGAGTGGGGAACCCCAGCGAGGCCTGTCTGTTCAGATTCTTCTTGACCTCCCCTCACAGCATTCTTTCTTCCAGAGTATGGGACAGAACCCATTCTGAAATGGGCTTCTTGTTACAATTAGACAAAGCAGGTCAGAAAATATTTTTATTGCTAGCTCCAAAACAGAGGCAGGGGACAATTCCTGCTTCCAGGAGAAAAGGGAGCAAGTGAAAGGAGGGAAGGGAAGGTCAGAGAGATTCGGTTTCTAGGCCTGTTCCTGAGGCCTAAAGCATGCAATACAATAATGAATGAAAACCTCTATCTGTCTGTCTATCTATCTATCTATCTATCTATCTATCTATCTATCTATCTATCTATCATCTATCTACCTACTTACCTAGATATTATGTACATTGTAAATATATAAAACATAATATCACCACAGGTCTCTCTTGTATCTACTCAATTATTCAGCTCTGCCACTGTAGCACAAAAGCAGCCACAGACAATCCATGAACAGATGGGTGTGGCTGTGTTTCAACACAACTTGATTTACAAGACAGGCCATGGGATGGGGAGAGACTGCGTAATGGATGAAGGGTCTGTCTTTGTCCATGCGGGCTGCTGTAACACAACACTGTAAACTGGGTGGCTTGTAAACAATGGGAATTTATTTCTTACAATTCTGGCATCTGGCAAGTCCGAGATCAAAGGGTTGGCAGATTCGGTGTCTGGAGGGCCCCACTTTCTGGCTCAGAGACCATGCTGCATGCGTCCTTGCATGAGGGAAGGGGAGAACTCTGGCCTCTGCAGCCCCTCATAAAGGTCCCCATTTCATTCATGAGGGCCTCACCTTCATGACTGAATCACCTCCCAAAGGCCCCACCTCCTAATATCATCACATTGAGGATGAGGGTTCAATGTATGGATTTCAGAGGAACATGAGCAATGAGTCCATAGGAGGGTTTTGCTGTGGACTGTTGGCAATGCCTGGAACTAGGTCAACAGGTACATTGGGAATGTACTAAGTGCCAATGAATTACTGGCTTTAGGATGGCTAATGTTACATGAATTTCACTTCAATAAATTATTTTTAAAAATCAGGTAATGGATTCAATTTGGCCCACAGGCTCTAGTTTGCTGACACTGGCAAGCTGTCCCTGGTCCCAAACTAGGTTAGAGGAAGATATTTGAGAGAAGTTAGAGATTGAGTCTTTATCAGCACCTTAAGTTGATGAATTCTATATAGACAGAGGCACTTGGGTCAGGAAGGAGGAATCCATAGTACGGGTGTTCAGTGTCAGCCATAGTGGTTTGCACCATGGCTGTGGCAAGTACCACCAAACAAGTCATCCCACGAAAATCATTTAGTATCTCTGGTTTCACTTTGAAGGTCTTTAAGATGGGGACAATAAGGATTCCTTCTTTATGGAGTTAAAAGGATCAGCTGAGTTAATACAGGTGAATTATCCAGACAGGGCCCAATGCATAAATGTCTCACATAAGAGTTTGCAATCAGTTTAATTTTAATAAATGAAGGAGCTTTCCTTACCCTCGAGCTGCTTCTTTCTAACCCGAGAACTCCCCCAGGCAGCTCTGTTTGTTCAGAGTTGGCATAAGCAAGCTATGGGTAGGCATCCTAACAAAGGCAGTCAGGGAAGCTCCAGGCAGATGTGGCTTCTTCCTGGGAGGTGCTGTGAGCAAAGCCCACACCTGATAACTCCTGTTTCTTATGAGTTAGAGCCACACACATGGCCTGAATTTTTCTATTCTTCAGGGCTCAAAGCCCAGTCAATGCCCAGCTGACAGTGGGAGAGGCTTCTTCTTGGCCACAGAAGGCTGGCCTTTCCTTGGGTGTGCGTCAGAGCTCAGGATAGAAACTGACCATGAACTGGAACTGGTGATGAAGAATTTGGTAAGGTGGTATTTTCCAGATGTAGGCAGGTTGAAAGAACCCTTGGCTGATAACAGTGGAGGAACCATTTCTGCCCCAGTGCCTGTAGGAGCAAGGAGGGTAGCAGTTATGGTAATTGAGAGAGGGGAGTCATGAGGAGCCACAGCTCCCTGGAGCCAGTCACCTGATAGAAACAGGGCTTCAGAAGAAGGATGTGGACAACCTGCTGCACTGGAGCAGAGAGAAAACCAGAGGAACAAATGCTTAAACCATTCTTCATTCTCAGATGGGTTCTCCCTTGAGGGGCCAAAGCCAGACAGCAGCCCCTCCAGGTTGAGGCCACCTCCACAGCAACCATTTCAGCCAACAGTGAAAGTTCAACAAAAGTCCTAGGGAAGGTTCTGATTGGCCAGGATGGAGTCTTCACTGTTGCCAGTGGGAGAAAGCATTCTGATTGGCTAATCCTGGTGTACAAAAGGGTTCAGACAAGAAAGACAAACTCAGAGGCCCAAGGATAAAGGAAGAGCAGGTGGCAGAGGATGATTATATCTGCTGACATCCACCACACTCGTTTATTTTTCCTCAGAAAATGGCTGTTCCAGCCTTCCTTACCTGGATCACCAGCATTTTGCAATGACCTTCCCCAGAAGCCTACAGATCTCCCCATCTCCCCCTCCCACTCTTTCTTCTCCTCTCTTTTCCTATCTCTTAAAGAATAGACTGTTTTTAGAGCAGCTTTAGAGTCACAGCAATATTGAGTGACAGATACAGAGATTCCCCGTATATAACCTGTTCCCACACATGCACAGCCTTTCCTGTCATCAACATCCTTCACCAAAGCAGTGTATTTGCTACTATTGATAATCCTACATTGACAGGTCGTTATCACCCAAAGACCATAGTCTACATAGGGCTTACTCTTGGTGGTAGACCATCTATGGGTTTTGACAAATGTATGATGAAATGTATCCATCATTACAGT